GGTTTCGTCACAAGAGTACAATTAGTGAATAAAATGAAGAATTGTAGCTACGGTAGTATTTACTTATTCCCGCATCACGTTCGTTCATAGGCGTTGAGTACGACGTAAAGCCGGTCTTCCAAAAAAAAAAGAAAATTAGAATTGTTTCAACTTCACATTATTCCTCTAGCGAATTTCGGGAAGCGAGCGTCAAACTAGACGCGATGATGTGGAACCTCCCTTTCTGGCACCCATTACCGCTTGTCAAACGCCAGAGCCCAGGCAAAGCAGCCTGTCAATTAGCGTGTCCACCCGTAATTAGTAAATCGTTGTTCGCGCCATGTCGTCACACGAGGGAGAACGCCTCGAGCCACTCATTCTCACCTCATCACTTCTTTTTTTTCCCCCCTTTCTGTAACTCCCTTACTACGTAACACATGGCTCGGCTGCAGTTACCGAAGTCGATCGTATCGCCTTACCCACCTGCCTCGCTATCTCCGGCTGCCATCGGGAGCCGCGTCCAAGAAACATGCAATTCATTAGCGGGTCACGCTACCTTAACTGGCACACGTCCCAATCGCTGCAGCGCCCGGTTCTACCGTGCAACCGCCATGCGGCCAGCAGAGTGGTCAGTGAAAGTCGCGGCGAAGTCGTCCGCTTTTTATGACGCTCTTACACGAACCGCACGCGTAATGTACACGCCTCGAGGTTGTAGGTCCTCGCCCTTCAATATTTTTCTTTTTTTATGCCATTCATACCCAGCTGCAGCGTAAGAGCTAAAGCGGGCCAAGTATCTACCGTATCGACCGATACCTTCGTGAGTTTCACCATCGTTGGTTTGTTGCATTAAGCTCTCCGTTAAGCGAGAACCACGTATAGGCAGCGACCACTACTCGTTCGCGGTGTAGCGATGTAGCGTACGTTAGGAAATGAAGCGCGTCACGGAAAGCCTTGGGCCTTTAATGGAATAGCTCACCTATTACAGTGTATTCTGACGCACAGGTAGTACAGTCGCTACGCTGCGTCGAATTGCATCTCATCAGACACGTTAAAGCAGGCATTACGTCTAGTGTATTCGAATATATCAAAGTTGACGCTTTTAATTTCATGCCTGAGCGAGCGCTACAGGGCTCACAAATCGACTCTACTCCTATTAATGGCTGCAACACCAGTTCATGAACAAGCTGATGTAACAGCACGTTAAGTTGTACCTCGTGATAAGAATAAAGTCTCATATTCGACATACAGCTTGGAAACAATTGCGGGTACTCCCAAAATCACCCGAGTAGCGGCTGGTTGGGTCAGTTTAACTGAATTGTTCTGAAGAATTTATGTGAAGTTATCCAAATAAAACAAAAACAAAAAACAGGTTATTTTAGAGTTATCTTCTAACACGCATGTGATCACCGTACTTGTCGCGGGTTTTAGATATTGTCGGCTTTTCACGTCGGCTCCTTTATTTAGCGGCGCATTTCCTAAGTGAGCAGCCTTTACATCAACATTTTATATAAAGCCAGCTGGCAACTGTTTTTGTAGAGCTTCGCTGGTAGACCTCACGCTGATATAAAAGCAAAGCAACCACGAAAGCTTCCATTGTTTTCTTTAGGTGTAGCTTCACCGCACAGCTCTTGTCCTTGCATGGACAGCACCGGGGAGGAGCAGCCGGCCACCCTGCTAGCAGCAGTGTCACTGACTCCTCCGGCACTGCGAACTTTCGTCTTGTTTTTCTTCGCTTGGCGTGTTTTTTTCTTCTTCGTTTCTCGCACAGTGGGGGGGAGGTACCGCACTTTTGAAGAGGTGTTATTGATCTTTTTTTGCACGCCGGGGGCGTGTTTTACGAGGCAGGTCTCCTTTATTTGCCTTACTAGGCGCGCACGCGCGCGCCACTTCCTCTCCCGACCTGTCGTTTCATATTCCTTTTGTTCTTCAGATCGACCCGTCCCGAAGAAGCAGACAGAAACAACTGGCCCGAACCTCGCGTGAGTGCGTTGGTCCATTCTGGGCCGAGTGGCGATGAAATACGGTGCAGGAAGTTCGCATGAAAGGGAACGGGGCAAGCGAAAAATCCAAGAGGAGGGGTAGCAGAAGAAGAATCACCGGACAAGTTCGCTCACTTCACCGTTTCTTTTTCCTTTTCTGATTGCGTTTCCTCCGTCAATGTACACCGCGTAACTCTTACTACACGTTCGCCTCGAGGCATGTTCTGCCGCTCTTTCCCCTCGTCTCCGCGTCGTGCAGGCGCGCGTTTCAGCGCGTCGAAGAGTGCGAGGTTTTAGGTGGTTTTGGCGGAGCGAGTAAGAACGGGTGGTGACGTTCGCTGGCGATCTCTATACCAGTATACCTACGACAGTGTGCGGCCATATGCCAACGCACGCTTTCGGATTAGGGCGTTTCTTTATTTTTTGCTCCCACTGTCGAGAGCCGATGTTCATCGATGTTAAGATACAAACCTCTTTCTATTCCGCTAGCTACCTTACACACTTGACACTTACGGGGCACAGCACCCGTATTTAAAAAGAAATTCTTATATAAAAAGTTTCGTAAGGGAATATTATATCCATTGACAATGAGGGGCGTATCATTAGCGGATCTGGCTGACGAATCGCAAAATGCACTTGCGAAAAAAAAAGTCTCGTGGATTCGCCCCCACGACTGTAGCATCCCTTGGTCGGTCAGTGACAATGGCCAAAGAATGACTGTAGTCATGTCAAGGACTCGTAACTACGGGAGATGCTGAATTGGCGAACCTAGTATTTAAAATAATCTGCATGTGAGAGTGTCGGCTGCATGACACTTTGCGCACCTTTATCGCTAGTAAATTTCGACTGTCTGTCTTCTCAAGCGGGGCTACGGTAGCTGTGGAGACAAACCTGTGTTTTTTTTTTAATTCCCCGGTTACGATTGGCAACTTATTTTGCCCACGTAACATCGAAAGGTGTGTCTGGTTATCACTGTGGTTGAGTCAACCACAGTGATAGAGCACTTTTTACGCTGAAGGGACAAAAATTGACCGCAGTAAATGAGTCGCCGTAGCTGTACTAAAAGACAAAAAAAAAATTTTTGCACCAGGATGAGAGGTGATTCTTTTCAAACTGAGACAGTGCAGTCAGTTTGGTAACCTGCGTCGGTATTCTGCGAACGTACAGCTTGAACGTGTTGAGGAATTTAGGCAAGAAGTTTACTGTGGCATTTTTTGTCCTTCTTTTTATATGTAGGAGAGTGTGCTCTAACCACTCCACGCACAGCAGAAATTGACTGTCGTTTCTTCACCCTTCGATGTGACCGACCGGTGTGTTTCGAAATTTGTGTGACGCATGCAGAGGGCAATGATGCTCGCAACGTGGGCCACTGTTGATGACCTTAACACGTATTAAATCCAGCAACCGGATCGAACTAGTCTTGATTTTCTCTTAATAACCCTAAACCTACGGCGTTCAAATAGGCAATGAATTTTCGCCACCTTCCTCAAGGAGCTCCCCATATTGCTCCATATGACCGGCGACCTTAGGCAATCCTTTTTTTTTTTCAAACTTTTTTTTTTCGTGGAAAAACATCGATTCGTGGGCGACCTCGATTAAATAGGTCCTGCGACTGGTGAAGTCAACGCTTCTTACGCAGAGGTGACTCACCGACCTTCGTTTAAAACCGTCCGCATTGTAATTCCGTACGAGCCACTCTAGTACGTATACAGCGCGACGGAACGTGTTTCGATTCGCCAGACCTTTTATCGTATACGTTCGTCTTTCCACGAAGCGTCCACTATACGTTGTTATGGCGTCGCGATACGTCCTGTAACCATAACGGTGCCAAGGTTTCCCAGAGGCCACTTACGGGCAAAGCTTGTCGCTGGTTGACCCCATCGTGAACCGCAGACGGCGCCGCGGGCAACAGGCACTGTCACATTTTTTTTTTGTCTTCTCCGTGTTTCTTAGTTTTTTTGTTTTGACGAATAGCATCAGCTCTACTCTTGACACAGCTCGAACGTTTTTTACAGCTAACGTCCGCAGAACGTTTTTATCAACAAAGCTTTTTTTTTTTGTTCGGTTACCTTCAAGCTAAAATATAAAATAGGACGTGTAATATTTTTGAGCGCGAACCCACACATAAAGCAAGAAAGAATCCCGTCTGCAAGAGAAGTTTCTGGGGTTGAATTCACATATATAATAGGGCCAAAATGTTATTTCCCAGCCGGTGTGCTTGTCGATATGCAGAGCCTCACAATCGGCCCAAAATTTATCTTGCGAAGAATCTGATAATATAACGCGGTGTTTTGAACACATTCCTTTTCTGTCCTGGCGACCTGATTCTGGTGGTACTGTCATTAGTTGCTCGCTTTGATTTTATAGGAACGGCTGGTTGAGACTACTTGAATAAAGTAAGAAATATTACGCAAAAATAGTGGTATATTGCCATAAACTCCAAAACTTTTCAGGAATATCCGACTTTCTGTTCTCACCACAGAAACACACACAAAAAATAGCGTTTTATACAAAATATTTTCCTAAGAGACAATTCCAGACAAAACTGATGCCATGCATATCTTAAGCAAAGCCGCTGGACGGAGACGAATTACACTTTGGAACAAAAACATTTCGAAGTAAGGTGCCTTAATCCCGACGTTAAATCCAGCATTTCAGGTTTAGGTGAAATAGGAGATGGCATTTAGTTCCGGATACACACCACGAATTTTGGGGATGTGAGTCGATGCCATTTTTTAAACAATTCTTTAATCAGCCGCAGCGGAAACGCGACTAGAATATCCTATAGCTTTCTTCATCACAGATTCAAAGGGACAACGTGAGAATTTTTTTCAAACAATTTCCTCCTGCATTCAAGAACTGCTGAGAAGAAATCTCTAATAGAAATGTAACGTTAGGCTTAACATTACAGCAGTTCATTATTTTCGCTGAATTTCGGCAAGGAACTGTGTGGGGAACCTGGGTCTTCCCAGCCTTGAAAAAGCCAATTGATGCTTATTAAAGCACGGATGAATCGATGCACTGATACTAAGGACAGCTTACCTTGTCAACTCCACGTCCGTTTTCGGAGGCGTTCAGCTTTCAAGGGCGATGGTTTGTCCAGGGGGGTTAGGGGTCACAGCGCGGCGCAACGACCTTGCAGAAAAGCACACCTTCCCGTGACAAGTGATCAAGTCACAGGACGCTTTCTGCTAATATTTTTTTTTTTTTTCACCAAGTCACTCCACAAGTCCGCCGCCACCTACGACGACGACGTTAACCTCGAAGCGCGTCTCAGAGAGCACCAGGGCACAAACACTTGGTGTTGATTCCAACCCCCTGCTGCCCAGTTGTGTATCGTGGGTGCCGATGGGCCGAGCTCTTGTCGGGCTGACCGCTGGGTTGCGACTGACCGCTGGCTCGGGAGCGGCGGTCCAAGTGTCACATCCGTGCGAGGAACGTCCTTCGCGCTGCCGGGGAGGAGAGATGCGGCCGAAAAGTAGAGGGGGGTGGGTGGGATGGGATGGATGAGGTGGGGTCTACCAGGGACGGCGACGACGCAGGGTTTTGCGGACGACTGGCCGGGTCCGTGCGGAAGGCCAGTGCTGAGGATGTTTTGGGATCGGTCCGGGGGAGACTGCACGTTTAAATACCGCGGATTCCGCCAGGGGGCAATTAGGGGGGCTCCCGGCGAGCTTCCCATTGGACGCGCCGGAAGAAAGCGAGCGAGGAGGGGGTACCGGTTGAGAGTGAGGGCACCGGAGCGCGCGCGCGCGCGCGCTCAAAGTGCGATTGTAGCGCAGGTGTACCCCCTACAGCCGGAGGTGGCCGGTGCCGGAGGAAACGACGGGATGCCCGAGAGATGGCGCGCGCCACGCGCTCGCGAGCCTGAAATAGCAGGCGCAGCGTCTGAGGGTGCCTACTCTGGTCGGAGCGGATCAGAGGGAGGATGGCGATGGTGCGATCGAGGGTTTAGCGCACTGGCGGCGCGCTTGGGTACTCCAATGTTCGCGACGGAACACGTCGGTTCACGGCGCGGGATATTTTTGGGCAGTCAATGTTTCGATCCATCATCGCCTTCATCCTCATCAACACCTTCTCTATACCATCTTTACCACCCCATTCCCTTACCTAACGCTGAGTGGCAAGCCGGCAACACTTGGACAGACAAAAAACACGGGACTGGCGTTATGCTAACCTTATGCTAGGCCAAATATAATTCTTCGTTGCCATCCTATGCTGCAAACGCCGCGACACTGTGGCTGGCTTCTGTCTGCTTTTCGGTTCCCCTCGCTTCGACAGTTAAATGTTCTTAGAAAGAAACAAGGTTCACTAACGAATCCTGGTGAATTGCACCCAAGTTTTACTGCAGATAAAAATAGAGGGAAATCTAATAATACAGAGAGGGAATGTTATATACCCAACATACTCGAAGCACAAGCTTTTCGAGAATTACTTCAATCGTTTTCGTTTGGTGGAAAGAACGCCGGTAATATTCTAGAAGGCAAACGCGTGTCATAGTTCGTGGCATCAACGCCTTTGTTCCATTTAAGGGCAGTTTTTCCTAACGCAATTTTTAAAAGCCAAGTAAGTTGTCTTGGCTTTCTGCACGTTACTTGCTGTGCAGAGAGGCCGTCCTATTTACGCCATTTTAATCAGGTAGATGGATGTCTGCACGAAAGTTTTCACTCCAGCATGATCAGATAAACTTTGTTACAGGGGCTAATGCGTTCGTTAACGTTTGTTTGAAAGTATTTATTGCGTTAGCCTTACGTGCACTCGATTGCAAGTGGATCACTCTGAGAGAACAGACAGTTCCTTGGCTCTCCCTTATTGTCTTTGTGAGATGCCATTGGCCACGTGTGTACGTCTCTTTGATGAAGTGCGTGAACTTCCGCATATTATTATACTTTGTTAGAAAAGTAGTGAGACGCCCCCCCCCCCCCTCCCCCCCCCCAAAAAAAATTTAACGCGTCTCTTTTGAGTGCGTCATATTAGTGGCGAAAAGAGCAGCACGTATTCTTTTTTTTTTAATCCAGTGTATCATTACCTTTACAAGACATGCATGCTTGGTGACTGCCTGTTTTGATGTTGTAAATTTAGTAAAATCAACGTGGACATTCCAATATGTGAATGTCGTGGGTTCGGTTCCCAACGGCGCTTGGTTGTTACGTTTGAAAGTGGCTGTTCGAATCTGATAGCTAAATGAATTGCGTCGATGAGTGCGCGACTGAAAAGAAACAGGAGTGCAGAGTTCTCAAACGTTTTAATTAGTAACATGCAATCATTCTCCAAGTACCGCCTTTCAGGGCACCTAAAGAAGCCTAGGGTTTAAATTTACATCTACAGAACGGGCGCGCCCGTTTATGCGTTGTGGTCTGTAATACTCCTGATGGGGGTAGAACGAGTTGAGAGAGATATAGACAAAGAAAGAGAGAAAGAAACAGGGACAGACAGAAAGAAAAATACAGAGAATCAGAAAGCTTCTTGCCCGCAAAACATTAAAAAAAGAGAACTAAACAAAGAAGAAAGACAGAAAAATAAAGAGAAAGAAGTAGAGGAAGGAAGAAAAAAAAAACTTTTCAGAACTTGGCTGGACAGCAAAAGCCGGGGTAGTATAGCTGCCCACCAGCTCCTATGTCTCTCTATAGCTTTGCGTCTTTAGTTCTAGCTACACTACGCGTGTACACGTTGAAGAATAATTGGTCGAAGCGTTTAAGCAGTGGTGTCGAAGATCTTCCGGGAGAATTCCCGGAACTGGGTCGGTGGTGCGACAAAGACGATGGACGGGATGAAGATGAATTCTGCTAGAAATGTTATCGATATCAAGCTTAATCTGCAACAACATTTGTCTCTTTTTTTCTTTTCGGGAATTAAGCTAATGAGTTTTTTTTTTAAAAGCGATGTATGGGTAACTAGTATGAAATTATTTACAAGTGCATATATATAACAAGGCATCGGTCGTTTTATGGGAAATGTCCAATAGTGGGTTGCGCCAGGTTAATAAGGGTCAACGAACTCACCAATAAAACGGGTCTACCACTGACAATGTACGGTGGTTTAACTAAAAAAAATGTCGGAAGTTTACTTCACGTAGCCCAAAGCTTGACACGGTGCAGATGTTCGATCCTCAAGCAAAACCTAGTTACAACTTAAGAGGACCTAATATACCGAGCGTAGCATGAATATTACTTACACCACAGCATCATTTCAGCAAATCCTACTTACAACATGTAAAAAACCTAGCAACAATCATTGTCAACATAACAGTAACCGGCGTTGGCCTAAACACTTTATAATAAACCAACTCCTACGTGCCAAGCTTTGCGTGGCACTGTTTTGTGGCGCTGTTTTCAATTGACGCTTTCTTTCATATGCAACGGCAAAATTCAAATTGCCCAAGTGTGTTGCTCCATGAGAAGTGTTCGTTCCTTTGACAGGCATCTGAATACGAAACTTCGAAATGGCCTTGACCTAAGGCTTTTGTTAGGTAAAACTGTTGTTCTCGAAGCTTGGCATAAGAGGTCACCTGTGAGTGGGTGAGCAGCTTCGCAACAACATTTCTTTGCGATGGCACAGACTACGTTTCTGCAGATCACACGTGTGGCAAAAATAAAATATTTAACATTTGAAGGACTAGTGCATTCTGTTGACGTACGAATATTAATTCGAAAAAAAAATGTGCATGGGACATAGGTCGGCAAAACTCGTGGAGCTCACTCAATCAGGAAGTACAAGAACAACAAGAGAAAAGGCAGGCAGGTTAGCCAGGCACATGCCTGGTTTGCTATTATACGCTGGGGGAATGGGAAAGGCGAGTGGGCGAGTAGTGCACTACATTGGCCTGTAGTGCTCAAAAAAGCGCAAGGCGGCTTTGACTGTCTTTTGAGCCGACGAAAGATGAGGACGATGCTCCAGCAGCATCTGCATAGAGAGTGGCCAATCGTCCAATTGTCGGAATGCTTCAGAAAGCTTTTGTATTTCAGAGCTCACCCAGAATCACTCGTGAAATATATCTTGAGCTTTGCACTCACTCGAACTCACACTCACGAAATTTTTCTTCAGCCGAACTCATGCGCACTCAAGCTCACCAAAATATTACTCACCCGGACTCACTCAGACTCACGGCTCAGTCTGAGTCAGTCAAATTCAGTCAAATTGAGTCGACTCATGAGTCCGTCAGCCTAGAACTGGCTTTTCGACCGTGGTAATGTTTTTCAACACCAATATTCCACGTAATTGGTGCTATTCTTGGTGCCATTTGCCGTGTTATCTTCGAAAAGGAGTTCTGAGTGCCTCCAAACCAGATAGGTCATTTTTATTAGAAGAGATGACATCGTAAGATATAGTAGTCAAAAAATTTCCTAGAAGAGACGGTAGGGGAAGGCCAGGACACCCCCTACGTAATTAACATATCTAATTAATAAATGTTAAAACGGTGTATGAATGACGTTGCTTTGGATCACCTGTGAGTAGACGTGAGTATAAACGTGAATCCAGGTAAACCTGATAGTAATGCCGAAAATTACTAGATAGCACTTTAGGTCAGCAAATTAAAGTTGAACCCACTTGAACTCACTGAAGAAATATATTTTGCGCTTTGGTTCTCCTCCGACTCAGACTCGCCAAAGTTTTCCTCAGCCAAACTCACTGGGACTCACAATCACGAAAATTTTCTTCAAGGGGACTCACTCGGACTCAGACTCACGGCTCCACGTAGGTCTGACTCAGTCGACTCATTGGTAAGTTCACCAACCTATATGGTGTGGAATCACCTTACTTTCATAAGGCTAATTTCGGCCTATAAAAACATCAAATAAAATCCCCGGTTACAGAAGTACTTCGCTTAATCGCGCAGAAAAAAAATAAGAGAATAATGAAAGGTGCGGTGAGGGCAGCGTTTAGCCCGGTCATATGTTAGAGGCCGGTAGGTCGTGCGAAAGAGTTTGGGGATTTGTATGGGCTCAGCGTTACCTTCATGCAGATGCATTGCAGTATGCGACGGAACTTTCTTTTTTTTTTTTTTGCCCCTAAATCTCTTTCTGACATCTACACTGGCTTTCAACCTCTCATGTATAAGTTTTCCTAATTGTAATTGCAAAACAATTCATGTTAAGAAGTTTATTAAGGAGGTGAGGTCACCATTTTCTTGATGATATGTGGTCTCGTGTACGCAGTTGGTCACACCTTTAGCTATTGGGCATGAAGGTTTAGGTTTTTCTGTGTATCTTTGCCATGCGACTTAATTAAATATCTAAATAGGGCGAGGACCACTGAATGCTCATAAAACACAAACACAAAAAAACAATTTCTTGCAGCTTCGTTTCACCATATGCCGCTCACAGACAGAAAAGTAGCCGCTGCGCTTGATAGTTAAAGCTTTGGCCTTGCTAGAGTGGCGTACATGTCATTCAATTTTCGTAATGTTCATGGTTTGTACTCGAATGCGACCTTTCTCATCACTCACACCATATCATGTGACTTAGATCACGCTGTTATGACGTAGAAAGCCAAATTTCTTTGA